TAGCTTCACATAGATGGGGAATTTTTATGTTTACTATGTGGATATCGATACCTATATGAAAAAATGTCTACGACTCTACGATTCATTGTGTATCATATGCTACGGTCTTCCCCCGAACATAACGCATATGCGTTGTATTCGAGTTTTCAAAAGAGAAAAAAACTCCAATAGAAAGAAGCATACGCATTGTATTCGAAAACCAGGGCTGTCAGAAAAAAGCAACCTATGTGGTGTATTCGTATACAACTCATGTGTTATGTTCGGGGGAAGAAGGTAGCATCGATATGCACATAGTGAGCAGTTCTGCTGCACATAGACGGGGCACTTTATGTTAACTGTGTGCCAGCCAGTATGTGCATATCTATCCAAGCGTATTATACGCACACATAGCAAGCATTCACATTGGCTACCGTCTTCACCCGAATAGAACGCCCAGTAATTATAGGTGTATTTGGTGCAACCTTCAGTCCAGACACAGCGATAATGACGACGAGTTCTAACGATGGTAGCGATCTCTTCCAGAGTATGATATACTGGCCTAGATTGCGCAGATCTCAGATCTGTATGCCAATGCCCGAGCATGATACACAGACAATTCCGTGTACACAACGGATCCCCATTCGAAAAAGAAAAAGAAAAAGCAAAATCTGCATAATGAAAAAAACTTTAAAAAAGACAATCCATTCAGAACAATGATCAATGATGTTCCACTCTCCGGAGACGTATGACTTACAAAAAGTACAGCTGAGATGAGTGTGATGGCTGACAGACAGCGAACTGTCTGTCAGCCATCACACTCGTCTCAGCTGTACTTTTTGTAAGTCAATAAATTGCTGTCCATTCAATAAAGTGATGTCCATCCTATCCATCCTTCTTTGGAGAAAAGTTTGAAAACTCAAAAGTAACTTCAACCACATGGGTGGTCGCTGAATCGTTGCTTTGCTTATCTTGTAATTGCTTTGCTTATCTTGTAATGTGTTGTACCGTTCAGCCGCGTTTGTGCACCTTTCAACCACCTCAGTAGTCTAACCAACCAACATGCGTTTTTTTAAATTTTTTTTGCTATCTATTTTGCTGTATACCAGTTCTATGAATAGCTCACAGCCTCAAACTACAAACCGTAGACCATACCTGCATAAATAATATATATTTTTATTACTTTCGCATATGTAGGAACGAAAAAAAAAGAGCTCACTTTGCGAAGCAAACGGTAAAAAAATACACAAGTCAAATATCATTCTTCGTTTCATTTACTGTGCCTCTCGCGTACAAGGCTCACCACGTTGAAGAAGTTGAGCACGAGCTGCCCGCATCCCCGTGCGCCATAACAGCCCACTTGTATGCTGTGAATCAACGCTGGCAGGTCTGCACTTGACACGGTACGTTCAGACTCTGGATGAATAATGGGACGCTGGACCCGGTTTCCAGCAGGTGCAGCTCCCCACCAATACAATGGAGCAACCAGGAAGCCCACCAGGGGTAGGTGCTCTTATCACCTCTCCTAGCAGTGGGACAGCTTTTTTTTTTTGGGGGGGGGGAAAGAGAGAGAGAGAGAGAGAGAGAAAGAGGCAGAGTAAAGAGGCAGGGGATAAACACAGAGAAGACATCAAGAGAAGACAAAGCAAAGAAAGACAAAGGGAAAGTAGAGAGTGTGGAGTGAAGATGAAGGCAAAAGAGGATAAGAAAAGGCTCAAGAATGACCCTCTCCATGACGACAAAGAGGACATACATTGTAAGGATGAGGTGCATCAACACACGGAAGACGTAGCTGAGCATTCTAAGTAAAACAGTTGCCACGACGGCTAGCATTGGGCATGCCCATCATACACTCCAACAAATGGCATGTCGATTGCAGGCCAACACGAAGGACGAACGGGCACAACAAGAGACCATGCATTCAGCATAACACCCATGGCTGTGAAACGGGCATATAGCGCCCGGATGCCGAGGGTGCCTGCAGTCAGGAAGGGATGTACAGTTCTCTACACAGATGGATGCAGAAACCATGTGATTGTAGTGATTGTGAAATACACGATGGAGGCCACATCCGAGCGTAACAGTGTTTGTCGTTGGGCAAAGGAGAAGGTCGCAGAGTGTTGGTACATCGTCCAGCTGCAGCACAAGGCCAGAGAATGACCTTCCACATAAAAGAGATTGGGGACGGTTTGGTCGGCAAGAAAACAGTATCATTATGCAAGAAATCCGTACCATGAGTCACGGCATGGACCATAATGCCATTGTCCCACAAGCACAAGGCCAGAGAATGACCTTCCACATAAAAAAGATTGGGGACGGTTCGGTCGGCAAGAAAACAGTATCATTATGCAAGAAATCAATGACATCAGTCATGGCATGGACCATGATGCCATTGTCCCACAGCTCCCAGTGGTCAGACGCACGTAGCATGGCCATGCAATGGCCAGGTCCGTGTACAATGCAGGCAGAGATGTGGGATGGAGGATTAAACCACTTGCCTGCTTGAGCATTGCATAGTTCAAGTTGGTGGTCCCTCGTTGTTACTTGTAGGACAGCAATGGTAAAGCCTCCTTTGCTGGTATAATTACAACACTCTGGCTGTAGTTGGGGAAGATCAGCATCAAGCTGAAGGGTGATTGCAAGGAAGTCTGATGGTGTATAAAACGGGCGGTGGAGAATGTGAAGACAGATATTAGTTGCCGTCAGGCCACAGAGATTGGTGAGGTTCTCAGGCTGGTTTGTTGGATGCTGGCCAACAGTTTGCAGATCACCCAGATGGTGTTGCAAGCCCAAACCGTCTTGGGTTGTTTGCTGGTCAGTCATTTGCAGATCACCAATGGGGTCTGCGACTCGGTGCGTGGAGGGGCCAAACATTTGTGGTATGCTGGTAAGCATTTGCAGATCGCCCGCGTGGACTACGCTTTGTGGGGTTAACTGCGATCCAGGCAAATCAGGTTCCAATCCCTCGGCGTTTGGGGCTGCATCCCGAGTAGGGACTGTCCCTGGAATCCGGAGTGTACCCTGGGCGGGGACCACATCCTGTTGTACAGGTGACTCGTGAATACCTAACGCTGAAGGGCATAAAAATGGTCACATGGCTGCTTTTGCAGGCAGCTGGACTGTCTGTAGAAGAGGCATAAGAGCGGATATTGCCGTTTGAAATAAATGAACCATAATAACCTGCGGAGCAGGCACAGAGAGAATTGGGGCAGACAAAGAGACAGGCTGCTGATCCCTGGACAAGGGACAACGTGGTGCACACCATTGACAATACACAACAAGAGGAGTACAGGTGTTGCGAGCTGAAGACGAACATGTCTCTGGCAGCAAAGGTGGGGAAATGGGAACGATGGGAACAATGGGAACTGGAGAGTCTGTTTGCAAGCGAGACCATGGAGGAGGTGGCGGTGGAGAGAAGGAACACAGCCATCAGCAGCCAAGCACGGAAATAATGAGTGGGGGTGGATTTTTGCACAAGGACGTGAGTATCGGAGAGACTCTGATGTTCTTTGCACTGGAGCTGCAACAGGGGAAGCTGTAGCATCAAAAACGACTGCAGGCAGTGCAGGGGGAATTCCAGCTATGGGGACTGCTGTCCTGAAAACTGCAGCAAAGGAAGCTGCAGTAGGAACTGCAGAAGTGGAAACTGCTGGAAACAGCAGCAGTAGAAACTGCAGCAGTGGAAACAGCAGCAGTGGAAACAGCAGCAGTGGGAATTGCAGTAGCAGCAGATGAGCAAGCACGGGCAGAACGAGAGCGTCGTGGGGGCATAAATAATATAGAACGAGAGAATTGTGAGGGCATAAATATATGTAGGGTTCAGCCCCCTGATGAGCCGGTGAAACTCCGACGAAACAGTTTGTCACAGCCCCTCGTTTGTTGTCCTCTTCTCCCTCTCTGCCTCCGGTTTACCAGGCAGCTCTGTTTGACAATATATAATATCTATTGGAAAAACAAGAACATACCTGCAGATGATGTGTGAATCCCAGCGCTGCGTACGTGCTAGCGCCTCTGGGGCTAAGTGCGAGAGCCCTCTCATACCATCCAATTGCTTCCGGGTAATTCCTGCGCAATTTCCAGACATGCCACCAGAGCATCACGACCCGGTCATAACCTCAATTTAAGGCATACTCATACTAGGATTTTTCTGAGAAGTATCTGACCGAAATTCCAGCCATATTCTGTCCAGAACAGTGCGAGTATACGCCTTTCTCCCCTTCCTCTTCTCTCACACCATTGGCGAGTCCCACTGCCACTCTCCCGCAGTGTTCCACGCCGTCACTTCTACTGTGTGTTTTTTTTTTTCAATATTCCTGGCGGTAGTTAATTGGTTATGATCAAACACATGCAAACAACTACCGTCTTCCCCCGAACACAACGCACCCCGATTTTGCCTGTATCGGGCCGTAAACATACCTTGTATACGTTCATTTTCAGGGTGCGTTATGTTCGGGGGAAGACGGTAGTTCATTGAACTTCATTCAGCAATAGATGGAATGAGGAGTAGAGGTGCAAACTACTGGTGGAGATAGTGTTTCGAGGAAGACGGTAACCCTGGCTCCATATTATTCTGGGGAGTGTCCACCCGGTTCCGTTTCGTCCGGCAAGTCACATACGCATATCCAAGAGTCAGATGCTTCCCTCCGTTACAGCCAGCCAAAGGAACCGCGGAACAGCATTGATTGCTCTTCACGGGGGTAGGTTCATTGTGAGGTAACCCTTATATCCGTCTCAAGTCACTCTCAGCACAAGAGCCTATGGACGGCCAGAAGGTGTTAAGATCTAGAACACACAGCGTATCGAGTCTGGTTCCCTGTGTACTGTCCCTCCAGGGTCTTGCATCTGCTCCCCGCGCGCACGTGCTGCTTGGTTCCCTGATTCCCGTCCTCCTATATTGTGCAACCTCCTCACGGAGTACAGCTTTTTTGGGGGGGGGAACTAGGGTGAGTTTGAAAATGCGTTTCAGTCACGATTTCGCAAATGTAGTGCCAAACTGAGGAAAATTGTGAATTTATACAACCCAGCTTTAGGGTCAGGTGGGGATGCGTTGTATTTGAGGGATGCCTGAAGTGCATTTTAAACTGAAACCGTGACTTCTCACTAGAAAGTTAGAACCCCCCCTTTTTTTTAATGGAGTATAGCTTTCATAATGTCCAATTTCCAAACTGGGAAATTCAGGTAATGTGCCTTGGTCGGCACCAGAATTGACTCGAGCTGTGTGTCCGAAATTGGATTCAACGCGTGTTTCGCGTTGAAAAATTGAACGCGCGTTGAATTCGCGTTCAATCCCCGTTCGAATGCGCGTTGGACGCGAATAAACGGGGTCCGCGAACCGCATTTTCGCGCGCTTGGGGGCAGGGGTTTTCTGAAGGTGTGGGGTGGTAGTGTCCGTTGTCGGGTACCGCCCCATGCATTCATTCTTTTTTTTTTTTTTTTTTTTAACAAAACAAAAATAAAAAAACACGCGTGAACCCCTTTGCGTCGTGCAGGGC